ATTCTTAAAAAAAAAAACTGTATTTTTGGCTTTTTTATTTTTTTATTTTTCAGAACAGGCATATATAGAGTTGAAGTTTGATACAGGCTATGCTATAGTAGGCTTTTGTTTTCAAGCCAGATTTTATTAGATCTCAAGTTTTTTAATATAATGATAAAATATTAATTATTAATAAAAACCTTATATATTTAATATCCTTAATCAATTAAAAAAAATTATTTCTTCTTATTTAATGTATTTGATAATATAAATTTGTTTTATACAATAGATATTTGTTAAACAGATATATACTTGAATAAAATTTGTAAAGAAATTGGTTTATAAAAAATAATTATATAAAAGTTATATATTTGAAGGATATAATAAATTAGTTTTTTTGTTTTGTTCATAATAAATTAATTACTTTTAAACTATTGTTAATATTTGATTAATTAGAAGAAGTATATTGATTGAGTTATTATTAATTTCAAATAATATAGAGCCAAATTTTATTATTTAAGATAATATCGCTATTATAAAATAAGGATAAATTATAGGTTTTTTTATATAATATAGAGTTAAGATAAATCATAAAAGTATTTTAATATAACTAGATAATCTTTTTCTTGTCAAGTTTATATTTTTTCAAGTATATTTTATATTTGACTTTTAAGATTAAACAAATAATTAATAAGAAAATAACAGATTATCATTGTTGAAAAATTGATAATATATTCTAAAAGATTTTTTAAAATATTATTAAAGAAGATAAAGAGATTGGAAAAGTAAATAGTTGTTTAAAGATATTAAAAATTATAATCAATAATAGTAAAAAGTGTTAGATTAATAAAGTAAAAATAATAAGTATTATTACCAATAAGATAATATATTTAGTTGCTAAAAGTTTGATACTTAGTAAAAATCTTGTTTGAAAGTTTAAAGAGAATTAATAAAGATTAGAGAGTTTATTACTATATTATTAATTAAGGATTTTTATAATAACTTTTTGAATAATTGGTTTTTATTATTATAGATTTTAAGTTGTTATTATTGTTATCTTGATAATTAGAGAAGCTTTTTAGGTAATTACTATATTTTCTCATTAATTTAAAAGATGTAAAAATTATATAGGATTGTTGAAAGGGTTTAAAATTTTTTGAAGTATTAAATTCAATATATACTGTATAATTGGAATATTTCTTTGAGTTTGAGTTGATGCTTCTTGTACTGGTATTATTTAATATTTGAAAAAATTAATAGGTAGAGATAATAAGACCTTTTAATTAAAATAGAAACAGAATAGTATTTTTACAAACAGCATTTTACTTGGATTAATAAGAACTACATTTAGAAAAACATGAAATGATTTGGATTAGAAAAAGATTCCAAGGTTATTTGGTTTGTTTCTTCGAAATTTTTATTGATTGTCAAAAAAAAAAAAAATAAATATTTGTATAAATATTTTGAATATAGTAAAAATATTTTCTTTTCCATATATAAACTGGTCTAAAAAATAATTTTTATTAATATTTTGATAATTATTCCAGTAGTATAATGTATTATTTAAAAATAGCAAACAGATTTTCTAAAATATCTAGTACGCGTCTATAGAAATTTGAATATTCTAAACCAATAATATAAACATAATTTGTTACAGCAAAGTCACCTGTGTCACTCAATTGTTTCTTATCCTTTTCCAATAGATTTTAGAATCAGCAAGTTTAATGAGTGCATAAATTAATTTTATTAATAGAATAAAATTTTATACAGTATATTGCAATAAATCGCAAGCATTTTTTTGTTATCCACCATTTGTTGGAAAACTGTATCTTATTCTTTTTATTAGGCTTAAAATTTTATCCTTTTGGTAACACAAGGTCAGTTTACTATTAAGAATGTTTGTATTCAGTATTACTGTATCAAGTTCAAAAAATAAACAAAGAAACGCGTGTAAGCCAATGTAATAATTGTATAAAGAAGAAAGAGATCATTGTTAAGATAACGTTTGCGTTAAAACAAAGGGCAAAATAACTCAAACATTGTAGTTTGAATAATTTACATACTTTTTTAAAAAAGAATCCAATAACATTTTTTTGTTTATGCAGTATAATTTTCTCGAATAATATCATTAGCTTGGTATTTTTAATTCATCATCAATTTTAGTGTCAACTTCTCTGTTTTCAGATCAAGAATTCGCCTTTTAAGACTTGGCGATTGACTTGTCTGTTCACCTCAATCTCGGAAATTTTTGGACTGTGTTAAGTTTTTAAAATCATAAGGTTTACTTGTTCGAAGAAGTTGACTTGGTTGTTCACTTGTAAGTTAATCGATTGATGTATGCATATAAAATTTATACGTCTTCTGCAAGTCGTTTTGCCGGCTGGATTAGTACCCAACATTTTTTATCAATTCAACTACAGTATTAAAGAAGGCAGATATTGAATTTTTGGTCGCTTCCCGTTACAGATTCCTATTACTAATTTTTTCTTTCTTTTTAAACGTCTTTAAAAGAAAAGCATCAGAAAATACTTTGTATTGTTACGGGTAAAAAAAAAGTTACATGTACGCGACGCGATACTGTATTACGTTATGTTAGCCTGTGAAACGAATAATTTCTAGAGTCTAGAATAATGGTAAAATAATATAAACATGTAAACAGTGGGCGCATGTATTTGAGAATGTGAATCCTAGTAGTTCTAATAATAAAATAAACCTTCGTCATAAATAAAAAAACTTTAATTAAACTATACCCCATTTGCGCTTGTGTTCGTGATACTCGAGTTTGCCTAAGGGAAGTGACATTAAGGATTCTAATATAGTCGATAAAAGGGCTAAAGTATAAGTCGGCCAAATCGACAAGAGAACACTTGATCTGTCTAACATAACGATAACAATACGTATAGCCCTTGTACCTTATCATGCAAGATTAAGGCGCTGCATAAGGAAGAACTGTATATTTTACCTTAGGTTTGCATAAACCTAAATCTGTTATGTAAATCGCATGATATCTTTTAGTAGAGTAACCACTTTAATTTATCGAAGTTTATAAAGATATTTCTTGGAATTTATTGAAAATTACTGTGCGACTTTTACTTCCGGATCTTCATATAATATTCTGTAATGCATTTTAATCTCGATAAAGAATAATCAGATGAAATTTCTGCATTATCATAGTCGGTCTTTGTGGCGTTAGCATTCATTTCCAGTATGCACGACCATATCGTTATATAACTGACATGACACCTTGCGAAGTTGATTTATATTCAATTTGATTGATAAACGTCACGTATTGTGGTTTTGAAACAAGAAAAATTATTAAGTATATTAAATATGCTCGACTACAGTACAGAGCCCAGTAGTAAGTTTATAAAATCTACGAAATTTTTAAATTTTCTGATTAACATATACACACTTCATAATCACTTGATTGAAAACACGAGATTTAAATAATTAATGCACCGTTTTTCAGTAAGAATAATAGGTGAGTTGACTCATACCTTATTATGCATGTGTATAAATTTTTCCTTTCCGCTACATCGACTTCACCTAAACCAAACTTTTCTTGGATTCATTAACATCGCTTTTACTTCCAAATGCCCAATCCCTCAGGTCGGACATCGATGACATGAACTTCTTTTTGAAGTAGAAATCTTCCGCGACCGGGAAACATTTGCATAGAAGGGAGATTATACTGACTATGAGGAGGATAGTGTAAAGCCACATACAAAATAGGTTGAGGTCTCGTATGATGCAGGCAGTACGTACTTCGGGGGCAGAATATGAGTAACTAGAAGGACAAAAGAAAGGAACGGAGAGCTCGGAGAGAGTATAGTGGGTGTAGAGAACTTGGAAACAGTGTTATTAGACCTGAACAAATTGTCAAATGCAATTTCAAAGATTTACTTACACGACATCACGATCATATATATTGGTACAAAGCTAATAAAATTGCATAAAAATCAATGTAATCAATTTAATCCAAATTATTCCTAGTTCCTTTGTAAAAATAAATCGATAAAAAAAATTTACCATATTTGTTCAATTATTTTCTCTCGAATCATATTTATGGAACAGCTCCTTCGAAGGATTGCCACCCATATTAAGGTAGCTTGAATTCGATTTTTTAAAAAAGTAATGAGATCAGAATTCCGAGATCCCAATAATTTCAGGAAAGTGGACTGCAATGAATCGTCGTTTTACCTGGAAATGAAATCGAGAGGGCTAGATAACTAAGGTGATATCGAAAAAAACTGGATTAGATCATTTGTAGATAGGAAAAAAAAAAAAAACAAGAGAAAAGTTTACATGTATTCTATGATAGGATTCGCTAATGTGACTACGTCCGAGTGTGCTTCAAAATATATGATCTTGGTAAATTCTAAGATTACGTCACAGAACAATAATCAATTTAGACGTGTACAATCCATACAGATTTAAGTAGGAAAATTCAACCACTCACCAAGAATCGGAATCAAATAAATCAGTGCTACCAAAGTAAAACCGAATAGCACAGCGACAAGCCATTTCATGCGATTCTTGCAAGCTTGTGATACCATCCTGACTTATTCCAAGAATAATTGCAGATACACGAACCCAGGAAATTATATATTCTTAAATTGGCGAAAATATACTCGAAGAGTTACGAGGAATTTTAACAGTAGCGAGAACGGGTTGATTTGGAAATAAAACAGAATACCAAAATCTTCGATAAATAATCATCATTTATGTATTATTGTTAAGCCGACTAAAAGAACAAAGCCACTTTCTTTGGTACGAACACAACGCACAGCCATCGAACATTCGGATTGAAACCAAAAATTTAATTGGAGCACAAGATATTTAAATTATGCTAACACGTATCGAGGATTTACTTAATTACCTAGGTCTGATGTAATGTATTGTACGTATCTCGATACATCGTCCTTTAGATTTACTCCTAAGCCACATTTACGAAGGCATAGGTTGATTTTATTTTTAAAATGATTACAGTAGTTGCAGCTACAATATTTAAGTGACCGAATAATTGATGTTGATATAAAAAAATTATATAATACAGTATACGTGTGAGATATAAATTATTTTTTTATTTAACATTGCATTAATTTTCTTTCCTTCTTTTCGAATTAATTTAGAACTTTTCTTTCTTATCCTCTTTAATTTTCTCTTTCTTATCCCTCCCTTTCTTATCCGATTGAATTCTAACTTGACTTGATCCATGCAACAAAGCAACGAAGCGAAGCCTTGATGGGAAATCTGTCCATGAAGTAACTGGGGAATGCTTCTTTCCATTAATGGAAAATGCGCATGTTCTCTTATCCATATCCACATGCACAGTAATCTTGGTTCCCTCTACAATTTCTTTTGAGAAATACTTAATGCTGTCATCATTATGGTGACAAAATCCGTCTGATCCCAAAGTCCATTCATTGTTCTCCGATAGTCTACAATATTCAGAGCAAACTCCAATCCATACGCTCTTGTCTAGTTTTTCAATTACGAATTTACATTCGTGAATTCCGCTGACTAACACGTAATTTGTTTTTGCCCTTTGAATGTAACTTATATCAGAGTTAATAGATGCTACATGTCCATCGTTATCTAGATGGATTTTTTGATCACATTCGTGTATATCCCATCGAACGTCTTTTGAAGCAAGTATTTGAGAATCTTGTATTCCACGAAATTTTGGTAATATGCTTCCTCTTAGATGAACTTTGTAGGCGCTCATTAATTTATCACTTGAAATTATATTTAATGGTTCAATTAAATCTGCCAAGACTTTTCCGTCAATGCAGGTAAGGTCGATCATGTCAACCAATGGCTCCAAGTTTTTAGAGATTCTTGAGACGTCGTCCGCGAATTTAAAATCTTTATTTATCGGAATAAACCCGTTATTGCAAAGCTCATTCCATGTTGGTAACCTTTCTTTTAAGATAGAAAAGGATTCGTTTGACACTTCCTTAGCAGACAGTAAAATAGAATAGCGCAATACTGAATATTCACTGGATGCAAACAGTTTATTATAGTTGCAAGTTTTTGTGAGTAGAACTTGAAATGCTTCAAAGGGTAATCTGCCAAAATCCAAATTATCCAGAGGGATCCTAGACACTGAATCAATCAGCATGTCCATAAGTTTACTTTCAGCGAAGGAGAATTCCATTTTAACGACTTTTGATAACAGTTCAGGAGACTCGTTATTGTTATCAGATGTATCGTCGTTGCAAATTTCATCCAAAAATTTATTGACGTGATTCTTCAGTAGGTCATCAAGTTGAAAGTATTCAGCGGCAGCAAATGTCTCGATCGCATTTTCAACCGTTAGTGACTTTTCCGATAATCCTCCCATATGAATGTATTCAAGAATGTTCTTCATGGCGGATGAGTTAATCTTTGAAAACGAAATCTTATTCTCGGATAAGGCATTATCTTTATTGAAAAGAAGCTGTTCCCAGGTTTCCGAACGGATGGCAAGAAAAGCTTTACATCCGTAGAGAACAACATTATCGTTACATATTATTTCCAGATCGCTATACTTCTGATATTTTAGTAGAAGTTTCAGATCTTCTATTAATGACCTCCCCCGAAAAACACTTGAAATCTCTACGGATAAAAGATATGTACTTAGAATGGAAACATTATCAATGGTAATTTAAAATGGCAAAAGCTTACTTCTAACTTCGATGGAGTTTACATCATACTTTTCGGGAGGTTCGTCTTTTGGGGTACAAAAGTAAGATAATGTTACTCATGAAACTCGTTTCTTAAAAGGAAGCAGAAATTATATTTACCAGTGGTGTTATATACAATCTCGGGTTTTTCATGGCTCAAATTTTCTTGAGATTTCAAGGGTTTGTCAACTGTGAATTCAAAAGTAATAATAAATAATAGTTTGTGATGATGGAATCAAATAATGTTAATTTACCTGGGCCGTGGACTCTGTCTCCGGCTATAGTAAAATCGGGAGACCCTTCGTCTGTAGAGTAGAGTGTAAGATGATATAAATTTCGAAAGTCAATATGAAATTTAAATAAATTAAAATTTACTTATCGAACCTCGTTTGTTCAGAAACCTGAACATTTGATGATATTTTCTCTCCCAAGAGTTCCGTAGGTTCAAATGGAATCATTCAATATTGACGAGTTCCTTTTTTTAATGTGTAGAACAGTTACACCTATCTATAGATAAAAAATACACAACATATATTTTTCTTGTAATAAGGATAATAATAGCACTGTAGAAACATTAATTTCGACTAAAATGCCGAAAATATCCCAATTATAAATAGATGATACAATACTGTACATGCCAAAAACTATCTATAGTGCTATTGATTTTAATTAATAAAAATTCATATTCCAATAAATTTGCATGACCCACTTGTAAGCTTCAAGTAAGAATCATAAATTTCCAAGCTAAATTCACACAGGAGATTGTTATCTGTTTCATAAAATCATATGGATTACGTCAATTGAATGCAGCATTTTCGTTTTATATCGTCTATATATTTTTATTACTGTATTTGTTTTATAAAATCATATGAAAATTTAATTGGATCCAAACTTTTTTGTTATTTGTTTTGTGAAATAAGATTTACGACCTATATAGTCTTGTATATTTTTGTGTTAGTCCGGAATCATCTGATCTCCCAGGAATCGGTTATTTAAATATTGTGCGCATGAATTTTTTTTAATTACAGTATACAGTATGCTGTAATCGATACTATTTATTTTTCGTACAAAACCATACTACAATGTTAAATTTATTTCCTATAGCAAATATAAATTTGGATTTCAAATATGTAGGTTTGATCTTAACCTTTAATTTCATAAGTTTCATTATTATTGCTTTGAATTTTATATAGTCAAATAATATTCTTTATATAAATTTCTTATTAAAAAAAAATCATATCAAACTTTTATAATTTATTAAAAATTTTCTTGTTATATAAAATAGATGCTTCAATTTTGGTTAATAAAAAATGTCGATCAAAATTCATATTTATCTATTGTATATATGGTTTTTTTTTTGTTAAATAAAACATTTCTCATGATTTTTATTAATACAATAAAATTTTTTATATTTTATAATTAATATTAAATTATTAAAATACAGTAGATTGCCAAAGGTTTATGAACACTTTTATTTTTTTAATTGTACAATATTTATTTTAATAATTATAATTAATTTTTTTATAAAAATGTA